GGCGCCTGCAGTCCCAGCTACTTGGGAGGCTGAGGCAGGAGACTCGCTTGAGCCCAGGAGTTGGAGGTTGCTGTGAGCGTGATACCATGGCACTCTACCCAGGGGGATAGCTTGAGGCTCCATCTCAAAAAAAAAGAAGTAAAACCTGAACTTCCTACCATTGCGTCAAAGGTACTGCAAGACCTGCCATGTTCCCCCACTTTCTTCCCTCACTCACCTCCCAATCACACAGGTCTCCAGTTGCTTCACAAGCACTCCACGAATTCCTGCCTTAGCCCTGTATCCTTGCTGTTCCCCCTGCCAGATGCTTTTCCAGCCAGATCTATGCAGGACTGGGTCCCCTTCACACAGAGGTCTCTCATGCTGAGCCACACCTACAACAGCCTTATTCTTCCCCACCTCTTCACCCTGGCTTAGTTTCTCAGGGTATTTATTTATTTTTGAGAAAGAGTCTCACTTTGTTACCCTTGGGAGAGTGCTGTGGTGTCATAGTTCACAGCAATATCAAACTCTTGGGCTCAAGAAATTCTCTTGCCTCAGCCTCCCAAGTAGCTGGAACTATAGGTGTCCACCACAATGCCTGGCTATTTCTTTCCTTCTTCTTTTTTTTTTTTGAGACGGAGTCTCTCTCTTGCTCCAGCTGATCTTGAACTCCTGAGCTCAAGCAATCTGCCCACTTTGGCCTCCCAGAGTGTTGGGATTACAGGCCTGAGCCACCATGCTTGGACTTCTCAGGGTATTGATCACTATTTGAAGTGATCTTGTCTACACATCCTTTTATGGGTTTATTTTCTGTTCCCTCCACAAGGCTGAAAACACCTATATGGCAAGAATTTGTGTCTGCCTCATTCACCACTGTGTTCTCAGTATGGAGCCCAGTGCCTGGCACCTAGTAGGTGCTCAGTAAACACCAGTGTATGACTTGCATGCTTAACAATGTGTCTGTACCGTGCTCATCTATTCTCTTCATTTCATGCCTAGAAACAGACACTTGGTTTTCGTGGGGCCTGAAGCTTACACAATCTTGAGGACTCTCTTAAAGAGAAAAGAATAGGGCTGGGTGCAGAAGCTCATGCCTGTAATGCTAGCACTTGCAAGGCCAAGTCAGGTGGATTGCCTGAGTTCACAGGTTTGAGACCAACATGAACCAGAGTGAGACCCCCATCTCTAAAAATAGCTGGGTGTTGTGGCGGGGGTGCGGGCTGTACATGCTTCAAAGAGTGTGGAGGCCTCCTACTCTGGAGGCTGAGGCAAAGAATCGCTTAAGCCCAGGAGTTTGAGGTTGCTGTGAGCTGTGACGCCATGGCCCTTTACCAAGGGAGACAAAGTGAGACTCTGTTTCAAAAAACAAAAACAAAAACAAAAGAATAGGACATTATGAATACAAAAGGAGGAGCAAGGCCTTTTAAGGAATGGGGCAAGAGTAAGCTCCTGAGCTCAAACTTCTTTAGCTTCATGGTAAAATTCCTTCTGGTAGGGGAAAATATTTCTTCCATCTTGCAAATAAGGAAACCGAGGCCCAGAAATGATGTCACTTTTGACCAGAGTAAAACAGCTAGTAGAGACAATACCCAGATTTGAATTCAGGTGTTCTGACCCCAGGGTCTGGATCACTGGGGACACCTTCTCCAGCTTTCCCTAGGTCTGGCTCCCTGTCATAGGACTCCAGCTCACCCAGGAAAGCCGAGGGGGACACAGTGCCATTGCTGCGTGCCACCATGACGCTGATGCCCGTTTCCACAAAGGGGACAGAGAAATCCACGATCTCGGACCTCTCCTCGTTGATAGTGAGAGAGCCAATGGCCATGTCTGCGCGCTGGTAGAACACCTGGCGGTGAGGGGGAACAAGGAGCCGGTGAGGGAACTTGGATCAGGCAGGCAAAGACCTGATGGCTGGAGGAAACCAGGGACACAGTGAAAGAGAGGGCTATCTATGGCCATGCCACCCTAGACATGCCTGATTTTGTCTGATTGCAGAAGGTAAGCAGGGTTGGACTTGGTTAGTATTTGGATGGGAAAGGGCTAAAGGACACATCGAGGTGGATGAGGAGAGATACTCAATGAGGCAGGGAAAGGTGGAGGGGAGAGATGGGAGCAAGATTGGGAAGAGGTAACCCTTCCTCTGACCCCACCCTGCAGCTCTTATCAGTTTTCCTAAGGGGAGCACGACCCTCCTGCCCCTACCTCCACCCCCATCACCTGGGACGGCCTCCTCTTTCCTAAAGTCCCTCCTCCTCATGATCCCTGCCATAGCTTTCGGGCTGCTCTCGGGAGTGTCTTTGTGGCCCCTCCCCTTTGGAGTCGGTACTCCCTCCTTCTGGCCACGCCTTCAGCCCCAAAGTACCAGCTTCTTGGCGACGCGCCCCAATATCCCAACCCGAGATCTGCCTCCCCATCTCGCCTCACCTCTCCAATCATGCCGTTCCAGACGCCGTCGATCTTTTTCCCGTGCTTGCCGTTGGTGACCAGGTAGAGATCGTAGCTGAAGCCAATAGTGTGCGCCAGCCGCTTCAGAATGTCGATACAGAAGCCCTTGCAGCACCGCTTCTCCGGGCGGGGAGCGTCTGGGGGAGGGCTGCGGGAACGACCAGGCTTGGGGAGTTTGGAGAACCTCTGGCCCTTAAACTCTCCCGTGATTCGAGGGTGTGGAGAAAGGGACAGGTAGCAGCTAAAACTAGGGTTAGCGTTTTCTGGGGAAACCGAAGCTCAAAGGAGCTATGCGATTTGACTTAGGTTGCCAAGTTGGAAGGCTTCGCGGACTCTGGGTCCCAAGGGAAAGAGGGATGGGTGAAAGGACTACTGGGCTTCAAGGGACGAGGATTTTGAAGCTGGAACTCCTGGATCTTGGGCTGTCACCTGTGGGTCCGGTTGAGCTGGCTCCGGCAGGGGACGGAGTCTCGGATGCAAGTGCCGCTGATGGGGTCTGCCGGCTCCACAATGACAAAGGGCCTCTCCTCGAGTGTGGCCACTGTGAGGTGCTGCGTGTCATCTACTGGCTGTAGGAAGCGACCATAGCGGGACCATAGCGGGTACTTGAGGCGGAGAGTCTGCTGCTCCCAGCTGCCCACCTTGGCCAAAGAGAAGGAGAGTCAGGCTTCTTTGGGGGAAGCCTCCACGTGTGTGTCCTGGCCTTCATGTTCCTCCTTCCTGAGACCTAAGAGTATAGGCACCATCTCCCCCAGGACTAGGAGCCCCTCCTTTCTTCAGACCTGTCTCCCCAGGACCCAGGACCCAGAGCCCAGGCTCCCAGTCCCCTTTCCCTCAAAAATCCAGACGTCAGGTCGGGCCTCTGCCAGGTCCCAGGAGTCCATTTCCTCTCCCATGGCTGAAGTCTGGGCTGCCACTCACCACCTCCCATGTCCTGTCTCTGGTAAGGGAGATGACCACCAGGGAGGGATTCACCAGGAAGCCATCCTCATTGAAGGAGTAATCCCGGTTATCCCAGGTAATGTTCATGAAGTACCTGCCCAGGAGGAAAGGAGTGGACATGTGGGACATGTCATATGGACCTTGGCAACTGAAGGCATAGAAAGTCCCCTTTCTATGACCAGTGCCAGCCCCTAACTGGAATCTCTTCTTCACATCCAAGATCTCAAACACATGAATATGCCTTTCCCCCTAATCAGTCCCTTCTCTTGGCTAGCCAGTGTCCCCAGGATAAGGTCCCAGACTCTCAGCTAGATATTGAAGCCCTGGAGTCTCTTTGTGTTCTGGCCCCATCTGCCTCTGAAGACCCATCTCTGATCACTTCCCACCCTCAAATTCTTCTCCAAAACCTTTTTGTTTGGAGACAAAATTTCACTCCATCACCTTGGGTAAAGTACTGCGGTGTCAGCCTAGCTCACAGCAACCTCAGACTTTTGGGCTCAAGTTATCCTCTTGGGGCTGGGCACAGGGGCTTACACCTGTAATCCTACCACTCTGGGAGGCCAAGGTGGGTGGATTGCCTGAGCTCACAGGTTCAAAACCAGCCTGAGCAAGAGTGAGCCCCCATCTCTAAAAAATAGCTGGGCATGTGGTGGGCACCTGTAGTTCCAGCTACTTGGGAGGCTGAAGCAAGAGAATCACTTGAACCCAAGAATTTGAGGTTGCTGTGAGCTATGATGCCACAGCTCTCTACTGAGGGTGACAAAGTGAGACTCCATCTCCAAAAAAATAAGTTATCCTCTTGACTCAGCCTCCTGAGTAGTTTGGACTATAGATACCTAACACAATGTCCGGCTAGTTTTTCTATTTTTAGTAGAGACAGAGTCTCTCTCTTGCTTAGGCCAGTCTCCTGAGCTCAGGCAATCTGCCTGACTCGGCCTCCCAGAGTGCTAGGATTATAGGTGTGAGCCAATCTGGCCCCCTAACCCTTTCTTTGCTCCATCTACATTGACTGCAAGGTGTCTCTCAAACATGTCAAGTGAATTCCTGTCTCTAGGCTTTTGCAGGTGCTAATTTTGTTTGCCTGGAAAGCCCTTATATTACCCTTTCTCCTCCTGACCAACTCTTAGGTGTCTCAGAGACTTGGCTCAAATGTCCTTTCTTCTGGGAAGAAGCACCAGGGGTCTCTGGACTCCCAAATATCTTCTCTTTGCAACATAATCTGTACTCTGACTGCCTGTCACATAGTCTGCCCAGTCACTCTCAGCTGCCTTCCTCACCCTCCACTGATGGCCATCCCGCCCATTAGTCCCCAAGCCCCGTCCTTCCTGCCCGTGACTCTCTCTACCCCATCTTCTCCCACACTCCCGCACTCCTGTACCTCATGCTAGCCTCTGATCTCTCTTCTCCTGTCTGTATCCTAATGGGCTCTAGAGGGGTCTTTCTACACTCAAAACTGACTCCACCCCTCCCCTGCTCAGAGCCCACCCCTGGCTAGCCAATGCCCTGGAACAAAGTCCAAACCTTTTAACCTGGCATTGAAGGCAAAGGGCCAGTGCCACTCACCTCCCCAGCCTCACTGTCTCCAATCCCTAATTCAGCTGCCTTCATCTGCTCTGCACTATTGTGATCCAACCAATTTACCCATGTTTTTTCTCACCCTCTGGGCCTTTGCACATGCTATTCCCACTATCTGGGAAACTACTTCTGGTGACTTCTCTACCATTCTGGAATCAAGTCCAAAACTCTCCTCCTGGCCTAATGACCTCACATGATCTGGACCCCCATGTCTGTTTATCCCCTACTCGTACCTTTATCCTCCTTGGCATTGTGATGGTTTTGGGAGGTGGGACCTTTAAGAGGTGTTTCAGTCATGAGGACTCCAGCACCCTCATGAATGGACTAAAGCTATTATTGTGGAAGAGGGCTTGCCTTCCTCTTCCCCTCTTTTTTTTCTGCCCTTCTGCCATGTAATGATGCAGCAAGAAGGCCCTCACCAGATGCTGACATTTTGACATTGGACTTCCCAGCCTCCAGAACCTTGAGTCAATACATTTCCATTCCTTATAAACTACCCAGTCGGTGGTACTCAGTTATAGCAGCACAAAACAGACTGCAAGAAGATAGTTCCAACCCCAGGGCCTTTGTACCTGCTGTTCCATTTTCCTTTACCCAGATCTTCCAATGCTTGACTCCTCCTCTATATCCATTTGTTAACTTCCAAATTTTATCTACTCAGAAAGGCCTTTCCTAACCACCTAGCCTGGCCCCCTAAGCATTTCTTATCATATGCCCTCTGTTTGATTTTCATATTGGAAATTATTTTCATTCTTTTCTTGGTTGTTCATTGCCTTTCTTCCCTATTAAGTTTGCTGAAAGCAGGAACCTTTCAATGCTAAAGCACTGACTTTCAGAAAAAGGGCTTTTCAATGAATAAATTAATGAATAAGTACTTAATCCTTCAGGTCTCAGCTTAGATATCTCCTCCACCTAGAAAACTTCCAGGCTCAACAGGCTGACTTGTGCTTTGAGTGGCCTGGTTTGGAAGGCTGACTGAGGCTAGTGCACTTTCTCTCGTGGGATGACAGTTTGCTATGAGATCTGGAGGCATGGGTGGTGGCCAGGAAGGGTTGAAATTATGAGGGATCACAAGTCCCAGGTAAAGAACTGAAGAGCCTCTGGGAGATGACAGAGAGAAAGACAGAGACATAGACAAGGAAGAAAGTAAGAGAGAATGAGAAAGAGATGAAAGAGTAGCTGCCTCAAGTCCTGACTTCTGGGTTTCTATGTGTGTTTATTTTTGCGATAAACCTCCTTTTCCCAAAGGAAACTTGAATGAGACCCTGCTTCTTGAAACCAAAAATGTCCCAGCTTAGTTGTGACAGGCGCCTGTAGTCCCAGCTACTCAGGAGGCTAAGGCCAGAGAATCGCTTGAGCCCAAGAGTTTGAGGTTGCTGTGAGCTATGACATCATAGCACTCTACCGAGGACAACAAAGTGAAACTCAGCCTCAAAAGGAAAAAAACCACAAAAAATCAAAACCAAAAAAAGTCCTGGCTTAAACAGTACTCCCTGGTGCCCCACAATGTCCATGCTGCCTCCATTACTGTAAGCATCATGCTGTGTTGCCATTGTCCCCATCCCTGTCTGCCGGCCCTATAGGACCTTGCCTTCTTTTAAGAATAAGTCCATGGTCTTATTCATCTCTATGTTCCCAGCACCCAGCATGAGCCCTAGTTCCTAGCAGGCGCTCAGTAAGTATTTATGAACAGGAACATTTTTCTCACCCTCTTCTGCTGGGATCCGGATTCCCAACTCAGCAGCTCTCAGTTTTCCTCCCTGAGGTCTTCTTCCCCACCCATCACTTCTTCCCAAACTCACTTCATCTTCGTTCTTTCACCAAACTCATCAGTTTCCCCACTCCCAAATCTTCCTATGGTGGTGACACTGTTTTCCACCAAACTCTGTTTTTCTCTTCTAAAATAATAGCACATAATCTGGGTTTGGGACTGACACACTAGGGCTGACATTTCCCAGCCTTCATTGCAGCTAGGCCATGCCATGAACAGGAGTTACATTCAAAATATCTAGCAATCAGTACAACACAGGCACTAATCAGAGCGAGCACCTAAACAATCAGCGTGGACACCGTCAACCACTGGTAAATCAGCACTATCCTGTCACACTCAACAATAGAGTGTGAGATATATCCCTTCTGCCTCACATACTCAAAAGAAAATTGCTTTCCACTTCCTCCCTTTCCCTGTTATCATGAGCTTACAATTCAGACACAACCATGACCCAGCTTCCATTGTGCACAGATGTGAGAGCAAAGGGCAGGAGGATCCTGGGTCCCTGAATGATCACATGGAGCAGCAATCTCCTGATGAGTGGACTGCTTATCTCTAGGTTGTTTTTTTGTTTTTGTTTTTTAGTTTTTTGGGGTTTTTTTGAGACAGAGTCTCACTCTCACTCTAGGTAGAGTGCTGTGGGGTCATAGCTTATAGCAACCTCAAACTCTTGGACTCAAGCTATCCTCTTGCCTCAGCCTCCTGAGTAGCTGGGATTACACCCACCATGACATCTGGCTGCTTTTTTCTACTTTTTGGTAAAGATGGGGTCTCACTCTTGCTCAGGCTGATCTTGAACTCCCGACCTCAGACAATCCACTTGCATTGGCCTCCCAGAGTTCGAGGATTACAGGCATGAGCCACTGCCCCTAGCCTTTGTTTCTAGCTTGTTATGTGAGAGAACAACAAACTTTTCCCCATTTAGGCTACCAGATTGTTGGGTCTTTCTTGCTTCTAAAATTTAGCTCATATTTGAATTAGGTATTTCAGAGAATCTAAGATGCTATCAATTATGAGACTGGCTACTTTTATGTACCACAAAGAAAAAAAAGGTTCTGCCAATTAAACCATAAAAAGCCATTAATTAAAAGAAACATCTTCATTTCAAAGACATTAAAATAATGCATCTTGGAGTCATGGAATAGAGTAATACACTCAGTGTGCCTTAGGTGCTTTCCTCAAATTACCTGATTTAAACCCCAGAAAAGGGCAGTGCCTGTGGCTCTGTGAGTAGGGCTCTGGCCCCTTATATTGAGGATGGCGGGTTCAAAACCAGCCCCGGCCAAACTGCAATTAAAAAAAAAAAAAAGCTGGGCATTGTGGTGGGTGCCTGTAGTCCCAGCTACTCGGGAGGCTGAGGCAAGTGAATCACCTAAGCCCAAGAGCTGGAGGTTGCTGTAAGCTGTGATGCCACAGCACTCTACCGAGGGCGACAAAGTGAGACTCTGTCTCAAACAAACAAACAAACAAACACCCAGAAAAGAGACCTAATTGCACTCAATTTAGAGAAAAGAAAATTGAGACTCAAAGAGGGGATGCAACCTATTTGAGGCCACTCAGCCAGTGAGTACTCCAGTTAGTCAGGCTCTGGAAACCCTCCACCCTCTTCCCATCCCAGCCCCACTCACCTATGCAGACTTTCCCCACGATGGGTGCGGTTCTGGGCACGACAGTCATGGCCAAGCTCAGGAAGGAAACCATAGTCACGCAGCAGGGCCTGAGCACCTCTGGCCACTACAGCCACACCAGCTGCCACACGCCGAGCCAAGTCATCCCTCCAGCCAGCTGAGCGCACTGCAAACAGCCCTGCTGGCAGGGGAGCGCCTCCTGGCAGAAGGAGGGGCTCACCAGGGACCCCAGAGCCCCCACCTCCAGCCAGCTGGGGCCCCACCATAAACCAGACGTAGCCAGACCCGGTGAGGCCAGCCTCCTCTGCTGCCCGGAACACAGGCTCAGCCTCCTCTCGGGCACAGAAGAGCAGGCGGATCTGTGCACTAACACTGCGGAGCTGGGCACTCAGCACGGCCTCTCCAGCCCCAGGGTCCAGCGTCAGGGCTCCACGGTGCTCCCAGCCCACCATGCTGCCATCAGTCAGCACCTCTATGTAGGACAGGAAGGCGCGATGGCCAGGAGCTCGCGTGGTCACTGCTACAAAGGACGTCCAGTCGTACTCTTCCAGCACCTCAAAGATGACCTGAAGCTGTTGCTCTGTGGAGGAGCCCAGCTGCAGGAAGGTGGAACCCTTCTCCTAGGGGGAGGGAGGAGGATGTCAGGCCTTCTGATGTGGGAGTCTCATCTTCTAGTGCTGACCAGCTACCTGTTCACTAGCCTGGGGCACAAGGCTAGATCTGGGGATAGTTTAGCTACCTGAGTGAGTTTCCTAGCCTCACTCATCGAAACTCTTCCCCACACCTGTAATCCTAGCACTCTAGGAGGCCAAGATGGTTGGATCACCTGAGCTCAGGAGTTCAAGACCAATCTGCACAAGAGTGAGGCTCTGTCTCTACTAAAAATAGAAAAATTAGCTGGGGTGCAGTCACTCATGCCTGTAATCCTAGTACCCTGGGAGGCTGATGCAGATGGATTGCCTAAGCTCACATGTTTGAGGCCAGCCTGAGCCAGAGCAAGATCTCATCTCTAAAAATAGCCAGGCATTGTGGCGGGTGCCTGTGGTCCTAGCTACTTGGGAGGCAAGTGAATCCCTTGAGCCCAAGAGTTTGAGGTTGCTGTGAGCTGTGGTGCCATAGCACTCTACTGAGGGTGACAAAGTGAGATTCTGTCTCAAAACAAACAAACAAAAAAAACTAACCAGGCATGTGGAGGATGCTTGGAGCCCCAGCTACTCAGGAGTCTGAGGCAGGAGGACTGCTTGAGTCCAAGAGTTTGAGGTTGCTGTGAGCTATGATGCCATAGCATTCTACTGAGGGTGACAGAGTGAGACTATGTCTCAAAAAAACCCAAAAAACAACAAAAATAAACTTCTTCCCCACAAACCTCCTTACTCTCTTCCCTGCCTGAGGGCAGATATAGAGGTCCCTGAAGAGAATTCTGAATTCCTAGGGAATTACAGAGCCACAGAGAGAAGGGGCCCAAGTCATCACATCGATTAGTCCCTCAGATGGATAAGAGCTACCTTGAATTAGGAACACCTGTTTGGATTTTATTTATTTTTTACTTTTTTAGAGATAAGTATTCACTCTGTTGAAATGGTGCAATGGTGCAGTCAGAGCTCACTGTAGCCTCAAACTCCAGGGCTCAAGCGATTCTTCCTGCCTCAGCTTCCTCAGTAGGTGGGACTACAGGCACACACCATTGCACCTGGCTAATTTTTTAATTTTTTTGTAGAAGTGGGGTCTTGTTATGTTGTCCATGCTGGTCTTAAATTCCTGGGTTCAAGCAATCCTCCCACTTTGGTCCCCCAAAGTGCTGGGATTGCAGGCTTAAGCCACAGTGCCCAGCCGTGTTTGGATTTTATATGATTGAGAAACAACCTTCCGGGCGGTGCCTTTGGCTCAAAACCAGGCCACATATGCTGGAGGTGGCAGGTTCAAACCCAGCCCTGGCCAAGTATAAAAAAGAGAGAGAGAGAGAGAGAGAGAGAGAGAGAAACAACCTTCCATCGGGTAGAGCCACTGAGATTTGAAGGTTTACCTGTTACAGCAGCTAACATCACTATTGTTAATACCCTCAGCATGCAGTGAGGGAACTACAGTCCCTAGAATCCACGGAGGGGAACCAGTTCTCTATATAGTGGGGGAGACTACATCGCTCAGCATGCAATGAGGATGCTGTAGTTCAGGGGTCCTCAAACTTTTTAAACAGGGGGGCAGTTCACTGTCCCTCACATCGTTGGAGGGCCAGACTGTGGGCCCTGGGACGAGTTGGCTGCTAAGCAGGACAGGCAGCGGTGGCAAAAACACACGGCAGGTAGGATAAATGTCCTAGGAGGGCTGCATGTGGCCTGAGGGCTGTAGTTTGAGGACGCCTGCTTACTCACTAAACTGGAAGGTACATCTTTGCCAAGTGAACTTTCCCTTCTTTGGTTTCCCCCCTATCTCCCACTTCCTTCCTTTTCTGTTCTTCTTGGCTGGAACCTCTCCCTCAGCCAAAATTCTAAATGTAGTTGTGCCTCAATGTTCTCTTTTCTTTTCTGTCCTCTTTTCCTGGGGATCCCATCGAGCCCTGTGGTTTTAAGTACTGTTTGTTTCCTGTACTATCCAATACTTATGGCAGCCACGAGTCATACATAGCTATTCCAATTTCAATTAATTAAAATTTGAAATATAGTTCATTGGTTGCACTGCCCACATGTGAAACAATGACATGAAGTTTGTGGCTATCATATTGGATAGAACAGATGCAGACCATCTTCATCGTTGCAGAAAGTTCTGTTGGATATCTCTGGGCATGCTTATAGCACCTCTCCTCAGTCACAACCTCTCCTATGAGCTTGGGACAAACCTAGCCCCTTTTCTATTTTTTTATGAGACAGAGTTGTTCCATGTCACCCTCGGTAGAGTGCTGTGGCATCACAGCTCATAGCAACCTCAAAGTCTTGGATTTAAACGATTTTCTTGCCTCAGTCTCCCAAGTAGCAGGGACTACAGGTGCCCACCACAATAGTGCCTGGCTTTTTTTTTTTT